TCAACATATAAAGTATCAGCATCTGGATGCTATAAGAACATATACATAATGTAAGTATATGTATCAGGGAATGTATTGAAAATGAAGAATGCTCTCCTTTTCAATTTTGGTGAGCATAGTACAGGGACTTTTGTCCGATTTTGGAGCAACTTTAAAAATTCATTAAAAAATCCAAACTTGATCGGAATCAGCTCAAACTTTCTACACAACATAAGAACATGTATATGCATCAGGAAATGTAATAAAAATAAAGAATTTTCTCCTTTTCAATTTTGGTCAAATTCGGTAAAAATCCTATACTATTAGTAACGCGGTAGCATTACTAAGTAGGATTCACCCCCAAACAAAATGGCTGCCATGACTTTTGCAGCCTTGCTATATAGTACAGGGACTTATGTCCAATTTTAGAGCAACTTTAAAAATTCATAAAAAAATCCAAACTTGATCAGAATCAGCTCAAACTTTCTACACAACATAAGAACATGTATAAGTATCAGGAAATGTAATATTTAGTAAAAATTAAGTCACAGCACAATTTTAAACAGCAAAAATTTTCTACCACACTAATTTCCTGATCTATGGTATATCAGTAACTAAATTTTAAGTGAAAGTTATCACCCATTCAATGAGAAAACATGTCAAATTTTCAGTACTGATCTTTATTAAAAACTATCATTAATTTTGTCCATTATTAATGTACATGTATACTATGTCCCAACTGAGAATGGACCGGAAGTGGAAGCAGCTGCATTGGAATTTGAAAAATGTAGTTACGTCACTAATGACAGTGAAGTGTTATAATGATATTCATAGAGACATGGTTGATATTTTGGCTATCTTGTTTCACTCTTAAAACAGTCTTGCTCTTCCTGATAAGCAGTACAATAGCTGCTGGAGTCAACTAGTCTTCATAAAGGCCATAATTATCAGAAGATCTTGCTCTGTTAGCTTTTTAAAAGAAGAATTATCAGTTTGGTATTGGTGGGCGATATATCGATATTTTATCGATACAAACGATATTTTACGGTATCGATTCGTATCGGTATCGAAATTTTGAAGGAATCTGGATCGATACATTGACCACGCCCATTTATTATGGTTAAATTATATTAATAATAAAAATTTTAATAAGTTAATGACGTAAATACACACACGTGGATACACGTGCATGAAAACATCGATGAAAACAGTCAATAATAAGGGGTGTGACTCCATAGGTGTGGTCTAAATATCGTATCAAAACTGTATCGATACTCCCGATATGAGCTGATATCGATCGGTATCGTATCGAATCCATTTTGGCCAGTATCGCCCACCACTACAGTTTGGGCGCTCGACCACATGTGCTTATGTAAACTATGACATCATAGAGCATCATTGTGGTTAGCTTTGGTATGCCATTGGGTTTATAGGGAGAATCCGGTTCTCAGGGTTCCCAAACTCTGAGAGACCCAAAACCCAATATCCTGAAGCAACATTGGGCAAATAAGAACCTGTGAAAATCTCATTCTTATCCCACATTCCTATAAAAAGTTATTCCAGTTTTTCTTGGTCCAAACTCAGTTGGGACATAGTATACATGTATTTAATTAATAATATAAAATTAATAATTAACTCACTTCAATTTGAAAGACCTTCAGTTGAACAGCTGCCAGCATATCCCAAATAATAACCTGACCATCATGACCTATTGAGACCACACCCATATTAATAACCATTAATAACTACTTAATAACTACTGATAAATAAACTATTAATAACTATTAATAAATGATTAATAACTACTAATGAATAAAGCAATAATAACTACTTAATAACAACTGCTTATAACTATTAATAAATAAACTATTAATAACTACCTGCAGTTAATAATATTCTCGGTTCCTTTGGATGACATTCAACAACAAAAACTTCATTAGTATGACCCTATGAATAATTAATTAACTAATAATTAATTAATAGCACTGTATAGCATAAATTCCCAACTCCAATACAATAATGATAATAAACAGAATGCCCTTCACCTTTAATAGAGAGACCATTTCCCCATTACTGGTGTTCCATATCCTTATATTGCAGTCAGGGGTGTGGCCTGTTGCTAGGTAACTATCAGTTAATCTCTCCCAGCATATCATGGTCACTTGGTTTGTTTTATTATCAAATTTACTGGCAGCAGAACTGGAGGGGAGAGAGAGAGAGAGAGATACTATCACTTCATATAATATTGGATGTACAGTACATGTATCAGGAAACTGGTCCATTTTGGAGCAACTTTTAAAAATTTGTTAAAAAATCTAATTTTGATCGGAATCAGCTGAAACTTTCTACACAACATAAGAACATGTATATGTATCAGGAAATATTATAAAAAAGGAGAATTCTCTCCTTTTAAATTTTGTCAAAAATTGACCAGTGACCCTGTACTAAACATAAAAAATTTATAAAAAAAGATGAAGTAGGATTCTGAATGA